ATCACATGGAATGGTTTTACTATCCTAGAAATTCTCTATTCTTGGCCTATTCATTCTCCTTCCCTGCAACCCCTGGCAATGACTCATCTTTTTACTGTCTCTATAGTTTTGCCTTTTCCAGAATGTCAAATAGTTGGAATTTTAGCCTTTTCAGATTGGTTTCTTTCACTTAGTAATATACGTTTCAGCCTCCTCTACATTTAAATAAACATGTTAAACTACTTTATATTCGGAGTCTGATAATCCAGTCGCTACCATGTTTGCAGGTCTCTTTCTGCTGTCTGATTTTTCAGGTGGCCCTGGTTCATGGCCTCTCATTGTTGATTGTGAGCTTCTGTTACTTGGAACTGTATCTGAGGAAATGTTTCGAGGGCTGGTTGAAGATGACTTCCTTCAGATAGGGAAAGCGTTGTTTGTTGCAGGTGTCTGGGGAATTACCAACCTGGGACTCTTTGAACTAAATTCCCATCTGGAGGCTTTTTAAATCAACCAGGTAGTTTGAATTCAGCCTGTGAACTTGCATGAAGATGACTTGAGATTACAAACTCTCAAGGGAGATGCTTTTTTCCTCTACTCACCACAAAGATTTTAGACAGACAATTTTCCTTGAAGCTCTTAGACAAGTGGGGTTATTTCTAGATCACGATTACATGGAGGGTGAAGCATTTAGCATCTCAGCTTTTTATTGGGGGGGGGAGGTCTCCTGTTACACTCCCCATTTGAAAGGGCCCTTAGCTTTGCTCTGCTGGCAGGAAACACTGGACAGAAATGGAAACGGGCAGGCGACCAACACTGTCTACTACAAACACTGTCTTCAATAAAAATGACATTAAAGTAATGAATATGAACACACCCCAAAGCGAGGAAAAGCAAGAGCAAAGGAACAGGGACAAAACCCTTACAGGTTTACCTGAAGTCATGGCATGAGTTGACTCTATGGCCTTATCATCTCTTCTTGCATTAAGATTCACACATCATTTTCCCATTCTGGGAATCTTCCTTGTGTTTTTGCAGCATGCCTACAAGGTCAACTAGCAAGGCGTTTACTTCATCTCATTAAATAGTATAAGGCAGAAATATGGCAGAAATTAACACACTCCAACTTAGAAGTGACAAACATCCGGGGGTGTCAGTTATTGCCAATATTGACAGAGATTGGGGACTCTTTCACCCCAACAATGCTCTGTAAGCATTCTTGTATTTCTTTCTTCTTGCTGTCTGATGAACTCATTAGGATAAATCACTAGAAGCAGAATCATTGGAGCAAATGTATGCTGATTTTAAGTTTGGAGAGGCATTATCTGATTTTCATCTAGTTACTCTCTTTAGAAAAGTATGAGAGTTCTTTTTCCCCTATATCTTTGCCAACACTGGATATAATTTTTTAAAAAATAAAACCTTTTTTACACAGTCTCTGGTAATCTTGTAAGAGTTCTCATAAGTTAGTTCTAACTCTCATCATTGAATTTGATGGTAAATATCTAGTCAAAGTCAATGTACAAACCTCAACTGAGCCAGTTTCTCTTCTTTCAAATGTTTTCTCCACTCTCTAATGTTCAAAGATGGCATTTGGGTACAGAGGAGAACATAAGTCATTTCATGGCAATGACAGCACTAGAACAGCACCTAGTTCGTGGAGGAGTCCTTTTGCCTCTGGATTCTTGCAGACACCCCTGCAGGGAATCTTTGTCCTGTCTGCTCGTGGAGTATCCTACTGGCATCTGCTACTTAACCTCTATCGAAGGTGGGGTCCGGTTCTCTCCTACCCCCATTGACTGGGCCCCACCTAGGTCCTCATTGCAGATCTTGAGCCTTGGCCACACTTGCCATCTGCCTCTGGCTTAGGCCATCCCCTCTGCAACCTGGGCCTTCCATGTGCACACCCTGTCTCCCTTCCAGCCTGCTGACTTCCAACATTCTACTACTTCGTGCATTCCCCCGTGGTAAGCCAGTGTGAAGAATCTGGTGGCTCATTGGAGAAACATCTCTAAGCGTCCCAACCTGTATACACTCAGGCAAGGTAGATAAACTGCCCATCACAGATATCCATTTCCAGAATTTCTTCTGTGAATATATATCTATATAGGGTTGGGGTAGGGGGAACCTGCTTTCTCCTATCTTCGTGTTTCCAAAAGGTGGGACCTCTATTAAGGTAACACTCTAGCCTACCTGAGATACATCACCTAATCCTTTGAAGAGGAGGGGCTTGGAGAAGAAGGTAGACCTGAGAAGCTTAGCAGCTCCTCCCTCCTGGGATATGCAGAGGTGGCCTCCGGGCTCCCTGCTGTGAGTTTCATAGGAATGAGGTCTGGTACTGTTGAGGGAACCTGTGTTTGTCCAATGTCACCTGTGATTGGGTGGACAAGGCAGTCAGTTGCAGGGTTCTGTACTGGGAAGCCCATAGTATTCCTCCCTCTCTTTCTTTCTCTCTCTCTCATACATTGCTTAATCTCCTATGGGTGGTCATTAAGTTGTTTCCATGTTTTACTATTAAAACATACTGCTTTGTAAACATTCTTTTACATATTTTTTTCCCCGACTTGTCTGATAAACTCATTAACATGAATTACTAGAAGCAGAACTGCAGGGTCAAATGTATGCTAGTTTTAAATTTGGAGAGGTATTATCTAATTTTTCTTCAGTTACTCTCTGATCAGCACAGTGTGGGAGTTCCTTTTCCTCCATACCCAGCCAACACTGGTTATAATTAATTTTTAAAATATCTTTGCTCATCTGCTAGCTGAAATATTGTTTTAATTTCCATTCGTTTTTATTACTAGTGAGGACGGACGTCTTTTTAAATTTGTTTTTCTTCTTTAATTTCCTTGCATGTGTTTGTTGCAAATTTTTCCATTAGGGTGGTTTTTCCCTCTTCCTTGATTTGTGTGAGCTATTTTTATGTTAGGGACCTCAGTCCTTCCTTGATGGCAGATTAGTGTAGTGATAGAGAACTTGGCTTTTCCAGATGTGATTTTGGACTAAGTTACTTAAACTCCGCCCATCACTCTTTCATCTCTAAATTAGTTCATATTTCACAAGTATGAGACGTGGCTGCCCTCCCTCTCCCCCCCCCCCCCCCTCAATTTGCACACCTCCAGGGAGAGCTGGGAGAGGCAGTATTGGTCGCAGTCTAGAGGACTGGATGGCTTTGCACAATGGCTACGTTTCAGGAGACAGCAGGAATCATTAGAGAAGAAGCAGACACCGTTTGGGGGACAGATGTAGAGCGAGAAGACTGGGGAGCAGCTGCTCCCCTCTGTGGGTAATGGGGAGATAGATGAGCTAAACATTGTTATTGGTTATTTTTAAGAATTTTTTTCTGGACATTGTAACCTTTCCTTTACAGACTGGCTCTTCCTCTTGCCCCTCTGGAGCGGTTTATATTTATTTTTCTGAGCTTTGATTCTGAACTGTATTTCTTCAGCATCTTCCTCTGTGTGGCCCTGGATTTAAAGAAGCTAGAAGGCTCCTGGGCTGGGCCATTCACTGAGATGGGGCACACCAGGAGCATGCTACAAGTATCTTCCTAATCTGTTGTTAGTCTTTTTACTAAGTGTATGGAGTTGTGCCATATAGGAAAAAATTGTTTCAGCTATAGATATTTAAAAATAGTATTTATTTTGCTTGTGTCAATTAGGATGCATTTGTGTGCAGATAGCAGAAGACACAAGGCAGAGGGGCTTAAACTGTAACCAAATGTATCAGCTCATTTGAAAGGAAATCTAGCAGTTGGTAGATCTCAGACCAAGCACTCAGATCTCATCTTTTTGCTCTACCTTTTTGGAGTATTAATGACATCTTAAGGCTGATTTCTCTTGTTGCTATAGCATGCCTGCCAGCAACTGTCAGGGCTCCATTCCTCCTTGTTCATGATCAGGGGAAAGAGAAGAGGGAGAGAACGTCTTGCCCTGTGATCCTCTTTTAAGAGCAGGAAATTTTCTTCCAAAAACTTCCCATCAAACATCTCACCATGTCTCAGGTGGTATAGACGTCTCGTCTCTGATGGCACCATTGGCAAAAACAGGAGGGCGTTTCTGCACTTGGCTTAGACCAGGGGCTCTGTGGTCCCCAGAGCAGCAGCATCAGCCCTTCTTTAAATCGAAAAAATTCTCGGGGCCCCGCCCCAAATCCATGAGTCAGAAATACTCTGATTTCGCACATCTTCCAGGTAGTTCTGACGCTCTCTCATGTTCGAGACCTGCTGGCTCAGGGCCCACCACTGGAGCATCAGATTATGTCCCTTGAATCACAGGGACGCTGAAGGGACAGGCGAACTCCTAGCAAAGCTGGGGTGCGTTAGGGAGGAAGGAGACATGGATACAGGGCAGGTGCCAGCAATGCCCACTATGTGGGACAAATGTCACACAATGTAAAGCCTAGATGATCTTTCAACCCTAATTTTTTAAATTGAAAAATTAATACATGCAGATATTAAGAAAGATGTGGGCATACAAGGCTCACAATTGGATACTTGCTCTTTTACTGTATTAGGGAGATAGTTTTATATCAACACCTCGTTCATTCTTTGTAGCAGCTATCCGTTATACTATTTCATAAGCATCCTATAATTTATTCATTTGGTCTCCTATTGATGGACCTTTAAGTTGCTTCTAATTAGCTTTTGCTAATACAAACAATGCTGCAACAAACATCTATGTCCGTATATCTATATGTGTAAGCAGATGTGCAGAAGTAGAATTTCCAGCTCAAAGGAGGACCATTTAAAATTTTGATAGATATTTGCAAATCGTCTTCCAATGGAATGACACCAGTTTGCACTCCTACCAAGAGTGTATGAGAATGCCTGTGTCCCCACTCCCAGTATGTCACCAGCTCTGGGGATTACCACACTTCCAGATCTGTGCTTATCCGATAAACAAAAATATTATTTTAATGTGCATTTGTCATTATTTAAATTGGCATTTACTCATTTATAAGGAAGGTTGGGCACTTTGTCACATTTTATTATACTTAAAAATCATTTTTACATCTCTTTCTAGCAACTGGCCGCACAGAGATTTATATTTATGCAGTTTCCTCGAAGGTTTCTGGCTTCAGCGTCATGCAAAAAAAAGGCCTTCTCAACTCCAAGGTTTTTTAAAGTGATGTTCTAATAGAAAAGAGATTAAATAAAGCATCTCTGGAGTGACAAAGGAGGTCAGAGCAGTGCCGTGTGCAAACACTGGGCTTGTTCAGAACTTTTCAGGAATGCGTGTCTTGGGCACACAGTGGCTCAAGCGTGTTTCTTTCCCATCTGGGTGCCTGGTGGTTAACCCTTCCTTCTACTGAGCAACTGCACACTGCTCCAGGTCTGAGCTTTTGGTGGCAGCTGGAGCTGCCCATCTGGGGGATGGAGTTGGGGCTCTGGGCGATCCCCCTCCCCAGGCCTCCCCCTTCCTCCCAATGTTGTTTGCTTCCCGCTCCTGGTGCCAGGCTGAGCCTCTACAGGTACCTCTCAAATACCAGCTCCTCTGGGTCTTGTTAAAATCCTTTATCAATGCCCATCTTTCTCAGCAGGGGTGACCTTTAACTCAGCTTTGCTGTCACTACCTGACTTGGATAACCTCCAAAGGAAGGTTGCCATGGCGATCCTGCATGCAGCTCCACCAAATCTGGCTTCTGTATCTTATTAAATGTTCCCTAAAAAGGAAATCACACCGAGACATGAAGGGGGATCGTTCACACGGAGCAAGAATGTTCTGCCGCCCTCGCCCCCTCCCCAGTTACTAGCCCGTCCTCCAGTGAGTTGAGTCATTGCCCCCTTCTCCTTTTCCTAATCTCAGTCATCATCCTAAGTGCTTAAATTTTAGGGAGTGGGAGGGGTATGGTTATGGCAAATGTCAATCTGCCTTTCAAAAGACATTTTTACAGCTCACATCTCACACCACTGGCAAATGTCAGAAGTGGGCGCATAGTGAGGCCGTGCTAGAGACGCCGATTGGACAGATGCTCTTTTCTCCCCCTCCTCCTCCTCGTGGTGGTGGTTTCCCCCCTTTCCTGGGGACGCTATTTTCACTGTGACTCTCATTAAATCCAAGGAGATAATCTCCTTTGAACTACCAGCTCAGTGCTCCTTGCTCTGCCAGAGGAGCTGGAATGCACAATAGCTGCTGGTGACTTTCAAGAGGTGGTTTTGTATTCACCCTGTGATTAAAGGAACAGGGGACGAGGCAGGAACGCGGCACTCACAGAGCCTGCAGGAGGGTGGATCAGGCTCTCGGGCCTTTGGTAACAGTCATTCTGGCAAAAGGGAAGACAAAGCCACTCTTGGAAAGGGCAGGTACTGCCGCCTGTCCCTGGGCATGGCGTGGCCTCGGCCTCGAGAGGCGGAGGCCCTGCGTCTTCTCAGCGTGGAGGGGAGGCCTGACCCCTGTCCAGTGCACAGAGAAGGGGGTGCAGGGCAGGCAGGGGAGAGGCTCTGCTGGGTGGGGTAGGCGGCCTCACCTCCTTCCGGGATGTCTCCTCTGCTGAATCAGTCGGCCGGGGCTGCCAGGATGAAGAACCACAGCCTGGGAGATGTAACGACAGAAATTTATTTCCTCACAGTTCTGGAGGCTAGAAGTCTGCAATCAAGGTGTCAGCAGGCTTGGGTCCTTCTGAGGTCTCTCTCCCTGGCTTGTAGATGGCCGTCTTCCCCCACGTCTTCCCTCTTTGTGGGCGTGCATCCTAATCTCCTTTTCTTTTTTTTTTTTTAAAGTTAATATTATTATATTATTATTATTTTTATTTTGGCATATTATGGGGTACAGATTTAAGGTTTCAATAAATGCCCAACCCCCCTCCCCACCAGTCTGAGTTTCCAGCATGACCATCCCTCAGATGGTGCGCATATCACTCGTTATGTATGTATATACCCGCCCCCTCCCTCCCTACCTGCCCAATACCCTATTACTGTAGTACCTATGTGTCCACTTAGGTGCTAGTCAGTTAATACCAGTTTTCTGGAGAATATATCTGGTGCTTGTTTTCCATTCTGGGATACTTCACTTAGTAATATGGGTTCCAGCTCTAACCAGGAAATATAAGATGTGCTATATCACCATTGTTTTCGTAGAGCTGAATAGTACTCACGGTATACATATACCACATTTTATTAATCCATTCTTGGATTGATGGGCACTTGGGCTGTTTCCACAGCCTTGCAATTATGAATTGTGCTGCTATAACATTCGAGTGCAGGTGTCTTTTTTGTAGAGTGTCATTGGATCATTTGGGTAGATGCCCAGCAATGGGATTGCTGGATCAAATGGTAGATTCACTTGTATCGCTTTAAGGTATATCCAATTGCTTCCACAGAGGTTGAACTAGTTTGCAGTCCCACCAGCAGTGTAGGATGTTCCTCTCTCTCCACATCCACGCCAGCATTTGTTATTTGGAGATTTTTGATAAAGGCCATTCTCACTGGAGTTAAGTGATATCTCATTGTAGTTTGATTTGCATTTCCTGATGATTAGAGATGATGAGCATTTTTTCATATGTTTGTTGGCCATTCTTAGAACTCACGAAAATCAGCAAGAAAAAAATCAAATAACCCTATTAAAAAGTGGACTAATCTCCTCTTCTTATAAGGGCACCGGCCAGTCAGCGTGGAGCAGGGCCCGCACTGATAGCCTCATTTACCTTAATCACCTCTTTAACATCTCACCTTCCAAATACAGTCCTGTTCTGAGGTACTGGGGGTTAGGGCTTCAACATACGAGTTTTGGGGAGACACAGTCAGCCTATAATGCCTGCCTGCCCTGCAAGTCCTCTTTTCTGGGCCACTCTTTGCCGTGTGCTGTGTTTGCAGGGGGAACAGCCAGAATTTGTTCCAGAAGCCCGTCTCAGCGCCATGCAAACCGGAGCCCTTTGTGGAACCTCGTTTTTACTAGATGTTATGATGGGATGCCAATAAAATTTGATTTTTAAATAATATAACAATCTTCTGTTAAAATATAAAACATAATGTTCTAATACAATAATAAAAATTGTTGGTTAGATCGTTTGTTATAGTATTCTTCTGGCCTTCTCTCTTCTCTTTCGTTGCGCTCAGCAGAGCCATAATTAATACGGTGCTTATAGAAGGCGTTGTGTATTGTTCATTCATTCTGCTTGATTGGAAGCTCCAAGATCCGGGTCTGTTTCCTCACCCTGTGTCCTGACCGTACATAGTGCACACTCAACAATGCGTGGTGAGTAAGTGAATTGCTGTGTCTTTCCTCTATCAGAGAATGAATGAACACTGTCTCAGATGCTGTTTTGGCAACTCAGTGTCTGGCTTCCATACGTATCTGGAAAATCTACCCACAATCCTTGCAGGGGGAGCTTCCTGTCGAGGGGAGTCCCTCTGTCACCCAGCCTGCCTTGACCTCAGAGTTACACTCTGGTCTTCACTTTATTTTTCAAGAGTCCAACGCAAACATGGATCTGTTTGCTTAAAAAACATCACCAAGGCTTGAAGGAATTACCATAAAGGACGTAAGACCTTAAAACTGGTCCTGGGGTTTCATTTCCTCCAAAGCTCATCAGCCCTCAGGCCCCACAGGGCTCCACCCCACCCCCACCCCTAAAATAATCTTTTTCTGCAGCCCCAGACCCGAGTACAAGTTGGGAGGCCTCACTCTCCATAGTCTAGTTCCCACCTCCACTCCTGCTCCTGTTCTAGAACCTCCAACCCCCGTGCCCGGGCTAGCTGGGAGCTAGCAAACGTGAGCTAACCTCGAATTCATCTTTGGAGAGATGTCCCCTAGCTCCTGCTGCGATCTCCTGTGACAGGATTAAACCTGGATCTACATCTCAATTGGAGCATTTGCACTTGGGCTGTTCCTTGTGCTCTAATCTCCCTCTGTGTCTTGCAAAAGAGCCACCAGGGTGGCCTCCTCCTGCACAGGTGGGGAGCAAGCCTGGCCCAAGAAGGACCACAGCTTCCCCCCAGCCACTGGCAGTGCATGCTTTGGGCTTTGGCTCTAGGCCACTGGGGCCTCAGAAACACTGCGTTCAGTGTCAGAGATGCCTGTGCCGTGGCGCTCTGTATCCATGGACTAGGGCCAGGGTGACACTCTGAGACATGAAGGGACAGTGGGTTGGCTCCAAAAGGCTCAGCTTATAGCAAAGGGTGGGGGTGGGTCAGATTTCCCAGTGAAGCGTGGCTGGCATGGAAACAGCACCCGTCTGTGACGCTTACCTCGGTGACCAGAACACGTCCCCCGTGCCCAGGAGGCCCCCGGCAGGATAAGTGGAAAGGGCAGGCAGAGAGGGGCCCGGAGTCGGCCCCAGGTGGTCATTGCTGTTCCCATCCCCTCATTCCACAAACCTGGGACACAGTCGGTGTCTGCGGGGTCGGGTCACAAAGACACGGGGCAGGGGGAACCTCTGCCCCCTGGGCCTGGCTGCGCGGGGAGAGGCCGAGGAAGGGGCTGGGGTGACGCTGGGCGTCGTGGTGGTGGAACGGGCTGAATTCTCCGCCTTGTTAGCTCTCGCCAGGGCTGAAGACGTCACACAGCTGTTCCCGGCCCGTTCTTGTCGGCGCCTGTGAGTTTACAAATGGAGCAGTGGGAGCTTCTGAGAAGCCCAGAGCGCCGGTGAGTGGAGTCATGGCTAGAATCTGAACTCGGATCTCCTGACTCCAAAACTGGCCTCTCCATGACTCTGGCCCACGTTAGAGTCACCACTCTGTCCCCTAGAGGGCAGGGCCCTGGGCAGACAGCCCTCCTGTGCGGGTTTGAGAGGCTCACATCTGAGAGGTGGAGACAGAAAAAGTAAGAAAAGTCTTCCTAGCGTCAGCAGCCCCAGCCCCAGCTCCCTGCATGGCTGGGAGGACCCAGGCCCCGGGCTCCCGTCCCAGCACGCGGCGAAGGGAGATGGAGCTGTGAGGCCTGCGCCGGGAAGCCCTGTCTGCATGGGGAGATTCTTCTTTCCCCAAACACCCGCCTGCCCCTTCCAGCCACACCCTGCCTTCCAGGGAGGGGTCCCTGGGTTGCCCCCTCCTCTCCCTGTCTCCAGCACTGTCAGGCTTGGGTCACCTTCTGCAGAGGGTGGAAAACAGACCACATCCCACGCCAGAAGAGTGCTGTCATTTTTTAAAAAGACGTTAACTGCTTTTGTTCCCTTGACAAGGCCTGCCCTTGCCTCCCCTGCACACCGTGACCGTCCTGCATCTCACAGGGCACCAAACCCCTCCAACCGAACACAGCCCACGAGCAGTGAAGCCTGCCCGCGCCGTGCCCGGGGGGCCCCACTGGTGACCGTGCTTCAGGGAAGGGCAGGGGTCCCAGGTAGGCAGCGTGTTTGTGGAGATATCAAGAGTTGAAGCCTAGGCCAGGCTCGG